GTGTTATCTCTTTCAAGTATGTATGATAATTCTTATATTTATTTCTTTTTATTTGTAATCACGGTTTTTCTTAAATGTTTTGCGCTTTTATTCTTTAATTTACTATTAGATCACATTTCTATACACTGATGAAGGTCTAAACCATTTGACCGAAACGTCTGTTGAATTTAATAAAGACTATTTGTGATACACGACCAACTTGTATTTTACTGCTCGGATCGGCTTTTCAACTCAATCTCTTGACAATTTCACGAGCGAATCAACGATAAATAAATAAATTTATATAAATATTGTTTATACCATTCTAAACTCCTCTATTTCTCGCCGTTTGATAACTCTTGTTTCCTCTCGCGACGCTTTCGCATCTTGCAAACCTGCTTTTTTTCCATCCAATGTCTTTGTCATTCGACCGTGATGATCTTTGGAATGATCTTCNGTGTGTCCACGTTCGAAATCAGTCGTTTCATCGTTCCAACGTGATTTTTTTCTTTCGTTTTTCATATTCGAGTACGATCGAGATTTACGATCGCGTTCTTCGTATTCCCTTTCCGGTTTAATCCTATTCGATCTAAAACATTTGTAAAAAAAAAAAAAAAAAAATTACTTTCATCATTTCGACAAAATATTATTTATAAAATTATTTCAATCGTTATTTTACTACAACAAAATTATCAATAATTTACCTCGATACGTCATCTTTATTGGAATTTCTATCGCGATAATCGTAGCCTCTATCGTCTCTGTGCGAACCGGAACGTGGCGAATTGTCTCTCCGAGACCTATGTTCTTTGCGGCGAGATCTATTCACATCTGCGTCCCTGTCTTTATTCTTTCTGCTTTTATTAAAATTTGTGTCTAGATTCTGTTTGCTTTTTCTAAATGAACTTAAATCCGAATCATTGTCTTTATTATCTGACATTCGATAACTTCGTCCGGACATATTGTTTGTTGATGTGTGATGTTTTGTACTTCTTCTGGGTGGACTCGAGTCAGAGTCATTGTTCCTAGACTGTCTAGGTGGACTTTGATCCGAATCATAATTTTTAGATTTCCTGGGCGGACTCAAATCGGAATCATCATCTTTTGATCGTTTATGTAACTTTGAATCTGCATACTTGTTTTTAGAATGCCTAGGTGGACTCAAATCTGAATCATTATCGTGAGCTCGTTTTAAATTTGAATCTTTATGTTTTTTTTCTTTAGACCGCTTAGATCTAAGTGGACTCAAATCCGAATCGTCGTCTTTGGGTCGTTCATGTGGACTTGGATTTCTGTTTTTAGACCGCTTAGATC